TTTAGTAGATACTTCAATTTTCATTGGCTAAGCACTAAAATCAATCTAATATTATCCAATCAAATAATAAAAAGCACGTGAAAAATGGACCGTCGATAAATTTGGACTGTTTTGCTTTTTCACTGAATATAATTGATTGGAAATTATAATATTCTTTTTTTATAAATTGAATACCAATCACTTTATATATATTGAGGTTAAATTAATTGTGCTTTTAGACCCTTTAGACCAATTTTAAGATTCCTAAAAACAGAGCCATACATCCTTTAATAAAAATAAACGGCTAGGATTATATAAAGGACTTTAAAATTACATCCACGTTCAGCGCTGGTCGCATCCAATCCAAATGTTTGTTGTCAACACAGAATATGGTTTACGATTTAACGGCTCGTCAGCCCTAGGAGCCACGGTGGCTAGTTGGTTAAGACGCTGGCTCGCTAGTCTGGAGGTCACGTGTTCGATCCCTGCATTGGCCGAGAAAATTCATCGGGATTGTCCGACGTGGTTTCCCCTTGTCAGTGATGCAGAACGGAGGGCCTGACAAGGACAGCTGTCTAGTCCTTCGGATGAGGTCCCGTGTATACATTGGAATGTACGTAAAAGATCCCTTGGCAGTTGGAATTCGATATACGAGTAGGCGATAGTGCTGCTGCCCGGGCAAAATTTCCCTTATAACACACTGTATGGCGTATGCCCGTCTTCATTAGCCCAGTATAGGAGCAGAACAGTAGGACGTTAAACCCCATTTCATTTCATTTCATTTTCGTCAGCCCTAAGCATCGACCATTTTGTTAATTGGAGAATGTTTCCATGGTTATCCGTGTACTGCTTTGAAGGAGAGAGAGAAAGAGAGAGAGGGAGAGAGAGAGAGAGAGAGAGAGAGAAGGTTTTATTACTCAACAAATACCTTCTCGAAGTATGTAATAAAATCTAATCGGGTGCAAAATTAACGTTTGCCGATCAAACTGCATTTTAGTTCGTCTCGGTCCAATGCAGTCGTCACGACAAATTTCACTTTAGGTATCAGAAAAGAGAAAAATGGACGCTATAAAATGTTGTTACTTACTTGTAAAGATTTGAGCAGGCCAACATTTTTATAAATTAATTCTGTGACCGTGAATATCAAATACTTTAATGATATCGTTTGCTTTTTTTCATCGCATAATCCAACGTTTGTTCAACAGTCTTATTACAGATTTAATGCTATTCATTTACTATAAAAAAAATATAGTTTTTATAACCGGCTAAAATCCTTTGTTAATTCAGAAATTTCCTTGTTCAAAGCCTTTGAATTTGACGAGATTACACAATGTCCTAACCAACACACAAAACAGAATATCTAACAGGACGGATCAAAGAGTGAAACGCGGAAAACATGTCGTTCTAATTTCAGACTTAGTTTGGTTTATATACGAATTAAAAGCACATGTCCGAATAGATGGACAAAACACAAAATCTATCGGATGATAGAAACTCAAATACACGGACATGGATTATTATCATCCAAGCACACATGTCAGAACAGATGGACAAAACACAAAATCTAACGAACTATAGAAATTCAAATACGCGGACATAGATGATTATCATCCAAGCACATGTCCGAACAGATGGACAAACACACAATCTAAAACGGATGATAGAAACTCAAGTAAACGGACATAGATTATTATCATCCACGATGATTTGTGTGAGAATTCGATGAACAATTCAAACAGGAGTCACCGCCCTCATTACTAAGGTTATTAACGTGAGATTTTAGGTCCTTAGTACGCATGACCGATATATATTTATTATCCTTCTCCTAGTTAATTTAACACACAAAAAAAATCTTTGATGTTATGACCCCGAAAAACAACAAAAAAAACATGTTATATATCGATTTGTGACCCACATAAATACAGGTATAAAGGTATGTTAATATCAATAATTTAGCTACCTGTAGCTTTAGATATGTACTGGTATATAGGTATGTTTATATCAATAATCCCGCTACCTGTAGCTTTAAATATGTAATTAATGACTTTATGGGTATTTATTCTCCATTTTTTAACCCAGAATGTACAATATGGCACAATGTGTTCATCAATATTATAATCCTACGTGGGAATTTGCTTCTTGTTTTGGGGGGGGGGGGGGGGATGGCCGAATGGTGCGCACTGTATCATAAGGCCTGTCATTGAGTCAACTGGCGCAGTTTCGATTCCCCGTTGTGCGTGACATGGAGTAAGTTCACCTGTCCAACCTCGTGGGTTTTCTCCGAGTCCTCCGGTTTCCTCCCACTGCTAAAGACCCCTACGCGCAAGCGAATTATTGAAATAAAACTGAACCCTGTGTTAGTCCCTAAATGACCTAGTTTGTGTCGACTGGACGTTAAACCCAATTTCCCTCTCTCTCTCTCTCTCTCTCTCTGCTTTTTTTATATTTATTTTCTTTTAAATTGTTGGTTACCAAGGAAACGTAATGTTTAACATCATACTTTTCTGCACTACCCGTAATAATGAACATGCGCATACACCTGGCAGCTTTGCTTACAGGGAACGTTTGTCCTGATAGCGGTACTACTGACTACTTGTACCTCGATTTTACATATTTTGTCTCATCCGAAGGACTAGACTTTATACCTTGCCGGGTGCACTGATCAGTGAAAACCAGACTTGACAATTCCAAAGAGCTTTCACGGCTAACACGTCATTAAATATTTTAGGAATACGGCTTCTTCATTGGTTGAAAATCGAATAGAATTTAAAGGCGTAACAACTCGTTACATTCCATGTTGGGACTAACACGTTGTCACGTTGAGACTAACACGTTGAAAATCGAAAAGAAAGGTACGTACGTGAGATTAACACGTGGTCACGTATACATTGCTCGGGAGGAGAACTCTTCACGGACAGCAGCGCGTTGCCACGGTAAGATCTAAAAGTTGCGCTAACCCTAGATGCCCTAACCCTATTTACATCTCGCGACCTATGACGAAATCTGCAGTAGGCCTTAATTTTTAGCCTTTTACCGCGTTGCCAGCCATTTTTTTTTTTTTTTTTAACGAATTCGGATTGTCAAGAACCCTTTACACACTTTCCAACGTAAACACGGGTAGTCCTTTAACTTTCCGTCCTAAAAGCGCCATCCGGCCATTCGAAAACGTGACATTTTATTATATAACCCAATGCCCTTATCGATCGATTACCCAGGCGCGTAATTGATAATTGAAAATCCGGCTACAAATTTTAATTCCCCATTATGACAGCATCTAATCAGATATTCTACTTTAAAATGGATAATGGCCGTGTAGATTTATCGATTCAAATCTAACATGTTTATTGATTTACAACCTACACACATGGATGTCGTTCTATCTTTTAACCCATTGGATTTAAACCATAATGGTTTACAAGGTCCAAAACATGAAATGAAATTAAATGAAATAGGGGTTAAAGTCGTACTGTTCTGCCCCGACTGGGCTAACGGGCATACGTCATACCGTGTGCTATGATGGAAATTTTGCCCGGGCAGCATCACTATGGCCTACTCTTTACTCTTTAGTTAAGCTTTTGGCTAAATTTTTATATGAGGTCTATGGGGTAACAGTATGACATCACTGGGAAATGTTTTTAGTTTATCTACAAAATGAATAAAAATATCAAATCATGTAGACAATAAAATAATTATATATCAAATCTGTGTAAAACAGGAGTTGGGCAAGGCGAATAGCTGTCCCCTCGTTTGTTTGATAAATACGTGAATGATTTAAAAATCTTGTCAATCCAACTGCCAAGGGATCTTTTACGTGCACACCAATGTATACACGGGACTTCAGTTTTCATCCCATCCGAACGACTAGACAGCTGTTCTTGTCAGGCCCTCCGTCCTGCACCACTGACAAGGGGAAACCACGCCGGAAAATGCCGATGAACTTTCCAGGCCAATGCAAGGATCGAACACGCGACCTCCGGGCATCTTACCCATTTAGCCACCGTGGCTCTCAGTCCAAAACACAGATAAATATTAGTTACACAAGCATTATGTAAGATTTAGATAAAGTGCTGTCCACTCTTGCTATAATATTTCCAAAAATAGATAATATAAAATGAATATATTGAAAATTTCATTCAAATTACATTATTCTGAGCCAAGTTATCACTGTTTGTAGTTTTGACAAGATGTGTGCATTGATTGTTTTTCGCGGCTAAGCCTCGCTTCTCCATTTTAAATTAAATTATTAAATGGCCGAACCTTTCTAATCTACTTAAAATCGGAGCCATTCGATGTCATCGAGAGTTGATTATGGTCTTGTCATGTTAATTATGTCAAGAGTTGATTATGGTCTGGTCATGTTTTAAAAAAGTCTAATTAGTAGTTTAGATAACATTTCAGGCCTATAGAAAGACCTGCAGTAGGCAGATTTAGCTCTTACATAATGTATGTTTAAAGGAGCTAAGTCGCTAATATTTGGGACCTAGAAATTGACACAAATGAGTCGCAACGTATATAATAATGTAATTTGAATGTATATAAATTGATTTACATTCAATCGTTTCTGTTTTTACTTCAATTTCTAATCAGTTATGTTCGGTGAAATACGCCAGAAGTCTCAATATAATGGCAATCTCTAGCGTCTGGTTATTCCACTCTATACCGATAGTATTTATTGCGCATGCTCTCCAGATAAGAATATGACGTCACCATTTGGCATGAATTGTGGAATATATATAGTCTCTTTCTATCAGTCCCTTGTTAAAAATGACGCTGAAATGCACCAAGGTGAACGATTCGTGTACCAACGGTAAAATGTTTATTTTGTCTTAATTATTGGATATCAGAAGCCCATCTTTTCCCCGTAAGATCACAACATCAATGTTGATTTAAATCGACAAATAATTCGTGTTTTCAATGTCGAAGATTTTGGATGATATTGAGTTAGAGACTTAGCTACTTTAATATTCATATCCTGTCGGGGTTTTTGTATTTACGAAATAATACATGTAAAATAGACTTACCTCTTTATGATTTTAATCTTTTCTATGCGGCCTGGATTTTTCTTGTTTTTCAATAAACTTTTTAATAATGCGTGGCCCGTTTGAACTCCTTCAGTTTTAGTTACAATGATAACTGTACTAGTAGTAGGTGACATTCTTCCTTTCTCACTTATTTCTTCTTTCTCTCCAGATAAACATTCGTCCTCCACCTCTTCTACTTTCTGTCCATCTCGTGTCTGTTGGTCTTCCGATGTTATCACCATGGTTTCGTGACTAAACTGCAATTCCAATTACAACGTGGCGGTTTAATTAGCAACTATAGACAATGTAAAATTATGCAAATGGTGTATGCTAATGAATACGATGAAATCTGCTCGCCATCGATTTTAAAAATACCCTTCATATATTCATTAGCTATAGTAGGAGTAACCGGCCTTGCAGTCGAGTTAAATAACCTTTGACCTCGAGAGCGTAATTCAAAGGGACATAACACCTATTGGAGTTTAACGTCCATTCGACACCAGCTCGGTCATTTCGGTACTAACATATGTTATGATTTTATTTCAATAATTCGCTTGCGCATATAGGGATCTTTAGCAGTGGGAGGAAACTGGAGGACCCGGAGAAAACCCGCACAACCGGGGAATCGAAACCACGCCAGTTGACTCAATGACAGACCTTATGACCTTATGATACAACGCGCACGCGCTAACCAATCGGACACCCCCCCAACTTCTCTAAGTATTCCACGTGTGGTCATAGAAAGCAAATAAAACAAGGTAGAGCGACCTAGCTATCTGCACCGACTGGACTAATGAAGACGGGTTTCATGAATAGAGCCACGTTAGTTAATTCGTTGCATTGTCTCTTTATCCCCCTATTATCATTGTTATCGCATTGTATACGTATTGATAAGTAAGTAGATATATGTACGTAATATGGTAAGTAACTGTATCTATATCTTACTATCGTGTAATATAACTTATCTCATACAATATGCACACGATCAATTATACATTATATACATTCAACTTGTCCCAATCATTCAATATAGTCGCAAATAACGCGTCTTAGAGAGAGAGAGAGAGAGAGAGAGAGAGAGAGAGATGGGGTTTAACGTCCACTTGACACCAACTAGGTCATTTCGGGACTAACATAGGTTCAATTTTATTTCCATAATTCGCTTGCGCGTAGGGGTCTTTAGCAGTGGGAGGAAACCGGAGGACCAGGAGAAAACCCACGAGGTTGGACAGGCGATCCTACTCCTTGTCACGTACAACTGGGGAATCGAAACCACGCCAGTTGACTCAATGACAAACTTATGGTACAGCGCGCACGTGCTAACCATTCAGCCCTCCTCCCCCACGCGTCTTATAGAAGAGTTTCTAGCAACTGACGCTAGTTATGAATAAAAATGAAATGAAATGAAATGGTGTTTAACGTCCTACTGTTCTGCTCCGACTGGGCTAATGAAAACGGGCAGACGCCATATAGTGTTCTATGAGGTAAATTTTGCCCGCACAGCGGCACTACGGCTTACTCTTATATCGAATTCCAACTGTCAAGGGATGTTTTTGTACGTGCATGCCAATGTATACAAAGGACCTCGTTTTTCGTCCCATCCGAACGACTAAGTTATGAATGAAAAGAAATCAAATAACGCGTCTAACAGGAGCCTTTCTATGTGCTTCTTGTTTAGTTTAAACAATATTTTATTCAATAAACTGAACTGGATTGAACAACAGTCAAAGTTCTATATAAGTTCTCGCCAAACTTATAAAACAGTTATATCTTATGTTTATAATAGACTACGGATGGACATATGTATAGACAGTGAGTTACAAACATATATACATTTCTTGGAGTCTAATCGTCGGGTATTACATTTTCATTTTAGATTATGAAATTTATATCAGATAAAAAGTATTGCATATTGTAAATAAAATATTAAATGTTAAAGTGTTAAAATCTCTTGCTATCTTTAATGTATTTTTACACTATGTTAAAAATGTTAAAATTGGTATCATCTGAAAGGTCGGGGTTGCCATATAAGATTAGGTTAATTGTAACATTTTGTTTGAGGTAGTGTCAATTATTTTGGAGAATTGTTCTTTGGGCAGAGTAGGCTGGACATATGTTTGATATGCATGAAATGGGACATAGCATCCTACTTTTCTGCATCAACCGGGAAAATGAGCACACTTTTGTTTGTTTTTCGTCTTATAGGAGCGTGTTTAGCATTTGTTAAACAATTAGAATGAAATTATTTTTAACGTAGGCCCACCACTTATCTGCACCAATCGGACTGATGAAGACAGGCATGTGTACACCCTGCATTATGTTATGAGTTGAATTTTATTCGGTTTTTCGTCCCATCCGACAGACTAGACGCTGTTTCTTGGCAGGTCGTTGGCACTGCGCAACTAACAGCGTAAAAAAAAAACCCGGAAAAATTCCGATGAACTTTTGCAGCGTGGTTACCACCTTGTAAGATTATGTGCTGGACAAAGGGCTTGGCAAGAAACAGCGTCTGTCCTTCGGATGAGATGAAAAATCCGAAGTCACGCATGAACCCATGACATGGACTATTTCTCTCATAGCACACCGCACAGCGTACGCTCGTTTTCATTAAGCCTAGTTGACAACCCAACGTACGGACAGTCTACGGGGGATATTTTAGTAAGCCCGTCCGTGAGATTTACGCGTCACTTGTGTGTGTTCGGCACCGTAGAAGATCACAGACTGGCCGTAGAGACTTGTGACAAGTACTGCGCCCGTACTATATGTATTTACAAAACTTTCACCCGGTGTATAAAAGAGAGACTTAATAATTCCCATTTTATTTCAGAAGGCCTTGGATCATTCGGGTTTCTCCGATAAGATAGCCTAGTACTTATAGACGCATCACGGATATATGTTTTTAAGACCTTGAAATGACCTCGATGTAGTACAGTAAACGAATAAATTATCTAATCACCTTCTGTTTGATAACAACGTCTGCCATTGATGCAAGTGTTGTGATTTCGATTCCATGCTACTGAGGTTGGGTTTCTAATCTCGTAAGTGGGAATGTTCTAACCCTCTCTCTTTGTAAGGGGGGGGGGGGGGGTGCTGAATGGTACGCGTGCGCGTTGGATCAGAAGGTCTGTCATTGAGTGAAAATAAACCATATTATTATGTTATTCCGGAAATGACCTAGTTTATGTCGTGTGGACGTTAAACCGAATTCGTGGGTTTCCTCCCTCTGCTAAAGACTCCTACGCGCAAGCGAATTATTTATGTTAGTCCCGAAAGGATCTAGTTTGTGTCGAGTGGACGTTAACCTCCCCCATCTCTCTCTCTCTCTCTCTCTCTCTCAGACGTCCTGTGTACACATTGACGTGCAAGTAATAGAACCCGGCCAAAATTTTACTCTAGCACACTGCATGGCGTATGTCCGTCTTCATTATTCCGGTTGGTACAGACAAGTAGGACTTTAAACCCCATTTCATTTCTCTCCCTATCGCATCCTTATACAGGCAAGTAGTAGGTTAAACTTATTTCATATCATTTCACACTCTCTCTCACATCGTGGTAAAAGTGGAACGGCAGTAAACTACAAAAAAACACATGTTCTACTTCTGACTCTAGAAACTATTCTTACATAAGATGACGCTATGCCTTGACCTTCAGATTTATTACAGATTAACGCTTATACAACTAAACATTCTTTTTAAAAATAAAAAACATTTATATCTGTTAAACAAATGTTTTATATCAACCATAGAACAATTAAAACTTATAACAAGTTATTTAAAACATCTAAACGACGTTTCAGTATTCCTCACGTAGGCAGCCACGGTGGCTAAGTGGGTAAGACGCTGGCTCACTAGCCTGGACGTCGCGTGTTCGATCCCGGTGTTTTGCCAGAGAAAGTTCATCGGGATTTTCCCGACGTGAATTCCCCTTGTCAGTGATGCAGGATGGAGGGTCTGACAAGGACAGCTGTCTAGTCGTTCGGATGGTACAACAAAAAGAGGTCCCGTGTATACATTGGCATGCAAGTAAAAGATCCCTTGGCAGTTGGAATTCGTGAAGGCCATAGTACCGCTGCCCGGGCAAAATTTCCCTCATAGCCCATATCATTTCATTTTCATTACGTAACATTTATATACTGTTAAACAAAATATTTCTACTTGATGATTTGGGTTGACTTCGGTAAATTATTTCTGGGTTAACGTGTGAATGCAAGATTGGGGGGATTTTGCCCGGACAGTGGAGCTTTTTTTTGCGTGTACGACAATGTGTACACGGGTGAGTTGCTAATTTTTTTCCATCCGAAGGATTAAACATATTCGATTTTAATCCCGCAAGCGCCACCCTTGAGGATTGAGAACTGGGATTTAAAAATCCTAATGGTTCTCCACGCCGGGACTCTAATCCGGTACGGTCTAATCGAGATGATGATAATGAAAAGGGATTTAACGTCCTACTGTTCTGAACCGACTGGGCTAATGAAGACAGTTCAAATCGAGAGGTGAGTTTTCAAATCAGCCCTGCACCACTGACATTGGTAATCATAAACTATCTAATCGTTCGGATGGGACAAAAAAAGAGGTGTCATGTACACGTTGAAGTATACAGAAAAGAATGCTTTACAGTTGAAATTCCCGTCTTCATTCTATTTCACTTTATTTTACTGCGGGGTCTGAATGGTTAGCGTGTGCGCGTTGTATCATAAGGTCTGTCATTGAGTCAACTGGTGTGGATTCGATTCCCCGGTTGTACGTGACAAGGAGTAGGGTCGCCTGTCTAATCTCGTGAGTTTTCTCCGAAATGAACTACTTTGTGTCGAGTGGACGTTAAACTCCATCCATATCTCTCTCTCTCTCTCTCTCTCTCTCTCTCTCTCTCTCTGATTAGAAGCATGGCCTAAAGGGAAGCAAACAGTTCCTAGTTCTTCGGAAGGTACACCCCTCAGACCTCCACCCGTGGCATGCCCCCCCCCCCCAAGAACCCCTAAGATAAATAGACGGGAACGTCACTACCAGGGTAAAATTCTCTTTCCTAGCATTGTACATGTAACCATTGAAATACATAAAATTCTCTTTCTTAGCACTGCACTGAATCTAAAATGACCGTATTGCGTTGACGACCGTCCTCATTAGCCCAGTCGTTGCCATAGAAACAAAACTAACCTATGTTAGTCACAAAATGGTCCAAGTAATGACGATACATTAAACCCTATTGTATTATTATATAAAGTAGTCTTAATACATCAGGTTTTTACTTA